TTTAATCTTTCAGCATGAACTAGGAGCTAAAAGATAGATAGATATGAGTTCGGGAGAAGATGAAGGGATAAAATTATCACTTATGGAATTGTTTAGATGGAGAAATATCAAGAGGACTCAGGTAAATTATCTAGCATGACATGAAGATAAGTCAACGAGCAAACTTTAGACACTTCTTGAGGATCTAATTTGTGTCAGGCTGTCTGAAATCCAGGGAACAGTAGTAAGGGGAGCAGACAACTGGTTGTGGTAGTGGAGGGTTCACATCTAGTCAGGAAGGCAGTGAGGACCTGGCAAGGGCTTAACGATCTGCTGGAGGAGTTTCTTCACAGGGAGCGTGTGTGGCCGGAGGAGGGTGACAGGCATGGAACCAGGGACACTGCTGGGGGAACAGGAGTTTCTGTCCTAAAGCTGAATTGCCCAGGAATGAAGAAAGGGACCTATGTTCTCAGGAAAATTGTGTGCTTCCGTGGCCTTTCGTGCATATTTCATCTTGCCATTAACCATACTAATATGTATCTAAATATATATATATTTAAAGGGTTCGATGTTTCATCATCTAGTATAATACATATGCATATAGGAAAATTGAAAATATAGAACAAATTTTATGAGAAAGAATTTTAAAAAACTAAAACTCATTCACGCTCCTGCTCTCCAGGAGAAAACCATTGTTAAATTTCCATGTATTTTTCTCCATTTTTATGTAGTTGGAATATATACATATACGTATTTTGCAATATTGGTATCTTAAACCTGATATTATAGCATAAGCATTTTACCATCAATAAGTATTCTCTAAAAACACAATTTCCTGTAATGTAGTTACACATTATTTTCTTTTTCTTCCCAGCTTTATTGAGGTATAACCGACAAAACTGTATATATATTTAAAGTGTACAAGGGGATGGATGATTTGATACATGTATACATTGTGTGTGTGTGTGTGTGTGTGTGTGTGTGTTTGTGTGGTGAGAATGCTTAAGATCTACTCTCTCAGCAGATTTCTAATATATTATTATTACCTAGAGTCACCATGCTGTACTTTGCTGTGCATGCTGTACACCATGCAGAACTTACTCATTTTATACACGTAAGTTTGTACCCTTTGACCAACATCTGCCCGTTTCTCCCACCCCAACCCCTGGAAACCACCGTTCTACTCTCTAGAGTTACAGATAATTTTTAAAATTTGTTATTGGGGTTTTCAACCATTTGACAGTAGTCCTGAGCATCGCTAAGAAAACTCTGGACTTCATCCATTTTTAAGTCCTTGCTAATTACGTAGATTTAAAAAAAAAAAAAAAAGACTTCTTTTTGGTGTTTTAATTTGCCTGTCCACTGAGGTTGAACAAGTCTTCATATATACGTACACTGGTGTTGGCATTTCTGGAAATTGCCTGTTGATTTCTGTATTGGTATAGATCAAACTGTACTGTAGCAACAAGTCAACCCTGAAATCTTAATAGCGCTACGAAATAAAAGTTCACTTTTCAGTCATGTCATAGTTAACGTGAGTCGGGCGACGGTCCTTCATGCAGTGATTCAGGGGGCCTCATGTCTGTTTCGTGATGCTGCCGCCTTAAGCCAGTGACTCTTGAGGACACACACCAGTGATCCCTGACAGATCCTTCAAGACTCGAGAGACCAGTGCGAAGGCCCAGCCTCTGAGAACTGGGACTCTAGTCGAAGGGTAAAACAGTGACCTTCTGGAAGCTGGTGGGTCCAAGAGAAAGACTGTAAACCAAGGGAGGGAAAGCTCTCCAGATGCGTCAGTCATGCCCAGAGCATCCCTGCTCGTGTACGATTCGAGTTTGGGGATTGGATGTTTCTCTACAGTTTCGTTCACAGTCGGCCAGCAGGTCCTTGCACCACAGAAAAGCAGGTTACGCCGCAATCCACCTGGAGGCCCAGGCTGGCTGTGCGCCCGTACATGGCTGTGAGGGATGGAGAGCCCGTCCTCCCACTGGGCCACATAAGCACTTCTTGTTCATAGATTTAAAAAGTCTACACGTGTTGCCTAGAAACAGAAATAGACTCTGGCAGATTGCCATGGAGGGCTATGTAAAGAGCTACTTTTAAAAAAAAATCCTCGAATCTTTACAGGTCGGGTGTGGAAGTACCACATCTAGATTTTCAATATGCCAAGGGTTAGGGGTCAACAGACCTTCAGGGAGTGAGCTGGAGACCGTTGAAAGTATCTTCAGTATCGATCACGGTCAGTGACTGAGTAGCCTTCCGATGGCTTCTTACAGGTGGGATACAGCGTTCGGGTTAAATGAATGAGGGTATTTCTATCATAAAATACGATAGGAAGTTATGTCCAGGCTATGTTATTAAGTGAAAAGAAACAAGTTTCACAATGGTATCTGTAGTCTACGCCAATTTTGAAAAGGCCCCATCTCTCATTGTCTCTCTCAGTCTGGCTCAGCTCTGGACATTCTCGTTTATTCTTCCCTTAAAACTATAAACACCGCCATGAAAACAGTATGGCCAGAGGCAAGGCAGTCTGATCTTTCAAGAAAAGTATAGAGTAGATGTTCTCCACCTGCCACCAATAGTGTCACAATGTCTGCAACTTATATATGAGTGGTTCTGTGAAAATAAAGACTGTGTATGTGCGTGTGTATGTATGTGTATATGTATGTGTATGTGTTATTTATGGAGAGAAAGCGAGTATGGTAACATATTAACATTTCTAGGAGTATCCATTCTCTCCCCGCCCTCCCAACTCTTATGTCTTTAAAATTTTTCAAAATAAAGTTGGGAAAAAGACATAAATGCACGTGAACATTAAATACCCCAGAACTTAACGTAGCAGAGTACTAGGCAGACCTAACTGGCCCAGCATAGACAAGGACTATTTAATTTTATAACTTTTAAGATTGCCCAGATTAACTGTTATATTCTAATATCTGGGAAATTATTTAAATGTATATGTCTTTTTACTTCCTCTGAATTATTTAATGCACTAGAAATAAATTCTGGCTTTTTATTTAAAAAACAAAAACGAGGGTTCAACTACTATAATGTTCTTAATTTTTCAAAATGAAACCAACCACTGATTTTAAACCACTCTAAGAACTTGGCAAAATATAAGACTTGGTAATTGATAATTTCAACATAGCATAGGTCACCATGAAATTCCCTGTACATATGCTTATGGTTTTGAAATATCGAGTAGAAAATACATTGCCTTTTCTGTAATCAGCGCACTCGTATAGTGGGCCATTTCCTTCCGTGAAGCTCTGATGGGCTTCATTACAGGCAGTCCTCCCAGGCATAAAACTCCCTCCAAAGGCAACAGGATGAGGAAGGACAGTCAGAAACCAATGAAAACATCACCTGTGTATTCAGAGTTGGAAATCAGATACTTAACTGTGAAATATAGGAAGCCCTGCAGAGACCAGGTCCAAGATCTATTTACCCAGTACTCACTGACTAACCCAAAGTAATAGGCATTGGTAGCAGGTTTGGAGTTCAGCAAATTCTGAGCACGTCTAGACACCTACGAGCCTCCTGTTACTGATCATTTCTCTTGATGAAGGCCTGTCCACCCACGCCCGTTCCCATTCAAGACACGGAGACTTGACCAAAGGCAAAATGGTATTCTCGTTTCACACTTTCCTTGTGGAGTCTGTCATGTTTAATAATTGAATGGTTCATATGTGGGTTTTTAATAAGAAAAGGTATAAATTACTGTTGAAAGTAAATTGTCTATGCAGCTATTGCCCGATCTAGAGAAAAAGGGTGGGCTGGGTGTGGAAATGAGCTCAAGGAGACACACACACACACCACGACAGTTATATATCTGAGACATCAATATCTATGCTTGCTTTATTCTAAAATAAAGAATAGTATAGTTTAGCTATTCTGGTCTCTCTTTACTGAACAACATCTTAAATGTAGAATTCAGATATAACTCTTTTAAAGGTAATGCTAAATTCAGACTGAAAACTGTTGGCTCATACATCTAAAACCTGAACAATTTAAAACACTTGCATCACATTTACTCATCGTAAGGCATGCAGAACTTGGAGAATACAATACACTAAGTTATTTTAAAATACTGAGCCAAAAAGAAAAAGTATACATTCCTTGCACAATATTTCAGTTTCTTTTTCTGGATTGAATCACAATAAATGCTTTGACATAGCCTGATATTCCCTGGCAAGTAACTCCCGTTGCTGGAAGGACAGACCCAGCCTCTTCAGACTATATTTACTAATTCTGTGCATTATAATGAACTGTATTTTGGGATGCAACTATCCTAGGGTTTTAAGAAAGTAAACCACTATGCCAAGATCATCACACCTCAACGTTTAAAGTGCTTCCAAGAAGCCGAATTGTCTATGAACCGTTCACTGAATGTTAAAATAGTCTACATAGATTTTACCCAGAACACAAATACTCAATGACAACCACCTGATTCAATTTCAAGACACTTGGGGGTTTTTTTATTTTGTTGGGCCCAGGTGTCAGTAAATGGAACAGTCGAGATGTAAAAGAAAAATCCCCAGGGAAGCATATCGTAAGAGCCAGTTCACGGTCCCTCCTTTGCCTCTCCCAGCCCTCTGCGCCATTCCTTCGGACCTGTGGTTCTAAGTTTAGTGAGCACAGCCCACTTCAGGTGCTGGTTTAAAAGATCCCCACGTCCCACACCCCAAAAGTCTGTCAGTCTGGGGCAGGGCCCAAGAATTTGCCTTTGACAAGCATCTCTGGGGGATTCCAACTCAGGTGAACTGGACTCTCTCTGAGAAAGGTCACATGAATGACACGGACCTCAAACACCCAGCATTTTGTTATAAATATGAATCTTCAGGACGGTGGTCTCCCCAAGCACGTAACCCCTTTAGCCCGCTTGCTCTCAGTAGGCCTGCCACCAGGGAAATTATCAGCCTTCAAGACGTGATCGACATCGAAAGTTGTTCAGATTTAGTCATCACTAGTGTATTTAACAAAACAAAACAAAACAAAACAAAACAAAGCTCAACAGTATATTCATCTTACTCAGAGGTTTCCAACGCATTTTATTTTTTGCAGACCACTGGTTTGTAGCTTTTGAGGACCAACATCTATCTGTATAAATCCCTATAAAATGTCCCAATTAATTTCAGTTCTGTAGCAGCCCCTCGGGTACCGCACACCGTCCTTATGGCTTGAGTTCCAGTGACACATGCCAGACAGGCTGCCCTTGGGCTCCTGAAGGGGGCGTGTCCACGATGAAGCCTCTTCCAGGGGCTCCTCTCCCTAGTGGCGGCTTCCTTTGGCAAGAAATTGACCGGTTCACATGGCTTAGGTGCCTCTAAGTGGGAAGCATTCAGAAACTTGCAGTGACGTGGTGCTTTTTTTCTCTAATGCAGACACTTGAGGGGTCAGTGCACTTGTGCTTAATGACAGGAATCCCTCCAAATCACTCAGTAGGTTACAATATAAGGAAGCCTCTGTCTCTAAGTAACACAGATAAACACTTTTAGATTGCCTATTTGTTCTAGAACTACAAAATTTAATTCAAGAAAATATAGGTCCCATGAAAGACTTAAAAGTTTTATAAAACTAAAATCTAGTTTTCCCCAATAAATTGTACTTTAGCCAAAACCCTCCCAATGCTTCTAAAATAATACTAAAAGGGGCATCTGATTATACAAGAGCAATAAAAAAAAAAATTAAATATTTATTTGAATAACAATTTTAAGTTCGAGCTGCAAGGCTGGCAACGCAGACCTTTAACACATCACAGAAAGCGTGCACAGAAGCACTGGCGCGGAGGACCAAAGATGCTCAGAATCGGGCTAAGGAGCTGATTTCATGAGAACAGAAGACCTGAAATCACTATACAAAATATAAAATGTATTAAGCACTATCATCCACAGAACAGTCTTTATTATTGATTCTATTTAAAAATTACTTGTGTAATTATATATTGAATTGTAAATGAGCATTATACATGAACCCCCTTTCAGAAGGCGATTCCTCGTTGTACTGTAGAACATCTAGTTACATTGCAAAAAGTATCCTTTTTTTGCTATCAATAAAGAAAACAGTTAATGGTATTACCGTAAATATTAAGGAGGCTACAAAAAAATAAAATTTCTTTTTTGTCTTCCAAGTGCTTTCCATGCAGAGCTAAGCACTTGCCTTGAGTGAGTGCACTATTGGGAAGAAGCATCCTGGGTCAGAGACGAATGAGAAAACCAGGCTCTACAGACCAGACTCGCAAGAACCATGCAACCCTCTTCCTGCTGGGGTGCCACTGTGTCACTTACCAATTCCGTCTTTCCAGAATACCACTCGAGACACTTAAAAAAGATCAGACTGGTGATAAATACACGTGAAATGAAAGACAAACGGTGGATTGACACTACGACCAGTAATGTCTGTGCTACGTGAAAGCACCTTTAAAAAGAGCCTATGCGGCAAGAGATAAGTGTCTAAAGATTCAAAATGAATCAACAGTATTGGATAACAATATAAGTCTCAACTCAGAAGCTGCCTCAAGATTAGGTGCATCTTCAGTTAATGTAACAGGAAAAAAAGGCAATGGATTTTATTTTATTAATTGCATCCATTTCACAAATCGACCTCAGGTCACCAGATGTGTAGACACAATGAGATTTTTGTTGTTGTTTATAGTCTTTAATTGAAATGATGATAAAGGAAATAGATCTATTTAAAAACAAAACCAAATAGCTATTTCGGTCTGGATTAAGAGGTGGCACCAGGTGTGGGATTCACATTTTGAGTGGCCACCTGTGGTGCGACTTCAATGATCCGGGGTTTGTCTATGATTCTGGCGGTACGGTTGCCCTTCTCTACGATCCCAATAATCCATGCTTGGTGACCTTCACCATATTTGGGGGACTTTATCTCTGCACAGAACCGAGCAGCTTGCTCACGTGGTAAACAGATTAGAAGGCCTCCTGACGAAGGAAAAAAAGAAACAAGAATGCTCGTTAGTGTGGTGCCGTGTGGCGTCTCCCTGCTGCTCTTTCTAAAACACTCCCGCACGGTGCGCCCGTCAAGGGCACAGACATTAAAACACTCCCGCACGGACCCATCCGCGACCGAGAGCTCCCTTCCGTCCACGTGCGAGCTGCCCCTCCGTTCCAGCCTGCTCTGCTCTGCCCTGCCTTCCCCTATGCCACAGAGGAAACTGTCCTTAAGCAACTTCTTGGAAAACACCTACTATAGTAAAAAGCACACACAATAACAAACTCTGAACTGTGAAAATGACCAGTCTGTGAATCGCTGAACGCTGTGCTGTGTAGGATTAAGGCGTCTGCGGCCTCAAGAACATATATATGTGGCAGTTATTTTTTCCATGCTACAATGAAATATTTAAAAACATTTTTTTCCTTTTCAATTGAATTCTCTACATGGATTTCTCATTTTATAAAAAAGCCTCTTTTTTTTTTTTTTTAAATTTAAAAATTAAGATCCTGAAAGAGTGCATGCCTCAAAGCATCTAAGTTCTCTCACTGGCTCTGTCATCAAAAAGGTATGGAATACATTAAAACAAACCTTCATCGCTATTTCAGTAGCAAGGTAAAAGGTATACTATACTTCTACAAAAAAGTAAAAACTTTTCATTTTTGAATGAAGGAAACGAATGCGATTTGTTAGCGATATTCTTGAATTCATCCAATGTTTACCCGGAGCCCAGCAGCTGACGACGCTGTGCTAGCCAGACGCTGAGCCACACCTCAGTTGCCTCCTTGGAGCTTATTTCTAGAAAATGGAGTTTGCTTCTTTTTTTTAAAGATAAGCGCCTCCATTCGAGCCGAGAGACCAACCAGAGAACCACAGCCCTTCTCTGGGCTGACATGTGGGCAAGGCTTATTGGTCATCACCTCTGGCTGCACCCCAGAACCTTCCAGGGAGCTGTTCTAATTATCGATGACCAGGCCCACCCCAGTCTTTGACTTAATTGGGTTTCTTGAGGGTCAGGTCCAGGCACGGGAATTTTTAAATCCCCAGATGATTTCACTCTTTTGCCAGGGTAGGGAAATTACTGAGGTAGAGAGGAAAGGAAATAGAAATGAGACTGAAAAAAGGTGGACTTACGGATGAGACACAAGAGTCACAGGGAGAAAGAAAAACATGGGTCAAAAAGAAAAATGGCACTCTGGAGACATACTACTTCATTCTTAAAACGGCAATTTTAAACTTTCTTTTTCCCCAAGGGGAAAAAACAGTATGTTCGATGTAAACTATGGGTACTACAGCTATTTCAAAGGCGAGGTTTCCAATGAAAAATTGAGTGATGACTTATTTTTCCCACAACCTTCCTCCCTCTCTCATCCTATCCTCCATCACCAAACACAGAAACACTGGACTTAAATAACTGCTCAGTCACACACAGGATGGCGGGGAGGCCCATAACCTACAGCACAGGAGGGGCTGAGAACATTCACTAAGGCCGAGGTAATCAGCACTGACCTCACACAAAAGGGGGTCATGCTCACGTACTTGGCTTCTTCCTTCTCATGGCACTTTCCATTAGCCTCACTAGTTAATCCTCGGATTTGGGCCCAGGATCCTTGTACCTGATGTCTCGGGGCAGGTCCCATGCATGAGGCCAAACATGTTCCCACAGGCCTTGCTCACAGCAGCCATCTTGGCCAGGACGGGGAGGTTGTGAATCACGAAGGAAACCTCGTTCCTCTGCTGTTTGGCCAGGTTCTGCGCGTGGCCCAGAATCCCGAAGCCCGTGATGTCGGTGGCGGCGTGGGCGTTGAACGTGTGCATGAGTCCCGCAGCTGAGAGAGACCCGAAGAGCAGCTCAGTGTCTGGCATGATACACAGGGGCCTTCTGCGGAAAAAGTCTTCCCTCTCCTCACGTCCAAATCTTAAACGTGCTATCATCTCAAAATTCCTCATTATCAGGGAGATGGCATATTGAAATAATGCAAAATGTAACTTTTAAAAAATCAATACGTCTTTCAGAGTGAAATTCTGAAAGTTGATTTATTTCTGTTTGAACCACTCAGAACTATCGGCCACTTCAATTGACAGTAATTTCCCAATAAACTAAAAAGTCTGTATAGAATTAAAATCAGAATGAAAGGTAAATCTGTCCAAACCATCCCAAAATCAAAGAACAGGACTTTTTAAGACTGACCTAAATTCAAGGCAATCTCACTGGCCATAAATTGCCTGAAAGGTTAATTTATTTTTTAATTAAAAAAAAAAAAAGAACAAAAAACTTTATTTTGGGGGTAATTTTAGGTTCACATTTAAAAATTGAGCGGAAAAGTACAGGAAGGCCCCTCTGTCCCCTCCCCCATTTTTCTTATTCCCATCCACCATTACTGTGGTACATTTGTTATAAGTGATGAGCCAAAACCAATTCATTAACTAAAGTTCATCGTTTATACTGGGGTTCATGCTTGATGTACAGTCTGTGGGTGCTGACAAACGTATATGTGACATGTCTCTGTCACTACATTATCGGGCAGAGTAATTTCACCACCTTAAAAGCCCCATGCTCCAGCTATTCGTCCCTGCCCCTGCTCCTGGCAAACAACGCATCTCATTACCGTTTCCACAGCCATCTTTTCCGGAATGTCATAGTTGGAACTACAGTATTTGGTCTTTTCAGATTGGCTTATTTCACTTGGTAATAGGTGTTTAAGATTCCTCCATGTTTTTTCATGTTTTGATAGCTCATTTCTTTTTAGCAAATGAATAAATACCTACTGTCTGGATGGACCACAGTTTATTTATCCATTCATTTACTGATGGAGCTACTGATTGCTTCCAAGTTTGGGCAATTATGAATAAAGTTGTGACAAACATCTGTGTGCAGATTTTTTAGTGGACAGTTTTCAATTCATTTGGGTAAATACCAAGGAGCATAACTGCTGGATCGCTATATATTAGTATATTTAGTTTTGTAACAAGTCACCAAACTGTCTCCCAAAGTGGCTGTACCATTTTGCATTCTCATCAGCAGTTAATGAGAGTTCCTGTTGCTTCACATCCCCATCAGAATTTGGTGCTGTCAAGGTTTTGGATTTAAGCCATTCTAGCAGGTGTGTAGTAGTATATCATTTTAAATTGCAATTCCCTAATGACATGATGTGGAACATCTTTC